GTGGATCCATGTCAGGAGAGGTGCATTTGAAGGACCATTCAGAGATAAAGTGGAAACCTTGGTTAATTTTCCATTAAAAAAACTAGATTTAACAAGTTATGTACCACCTCCAATACCACAACCTGTCAACATTCCTGGTAAAAACACATCAGAGTCTTCCAACACAGACGATGAATCAATAAATTCTTTGCAACAGGTTGGACCTTTTATATACGATTTATATGCAGTATCAAATCATTATGGTGGATTGAATGGTGGGCATTATACAGCATGTGTACGAAATGGATTTAAAAATGAATGGTATAACTTTGACGATAGTCGTGTGTCAAATTGTAATGAAGGATCTGTTAAGGTAAATTATATTATTATACATTTTTTCAATATCATACATCATAAAATATATATACTAAAAAAACAATTGTTTTATTTTCCCATCTAGTCTCGTGCTGCATATAATTTATTCTATGTCAGGAATTAAACATTTTTTAAATTTATTCTAATTACATAATAATAATAATTTTTTTTAATTTATATCATCAGTGTTATTATTTATATTATTTTTTAATAAATATAAATAATCAGAAGCATCAATGAACGCTAAATGAATTTTAAGTTCCCATTTTGCAATCCTAGACCAGATTCCCTCGTTACAACATGACTCTTCTGTAGTCTCTTCCCGCATTGAAAATCCATTAAAAAAAAACAAAGGCTAACATTAAAGATACATAACAACAAAACCAATATATTTTTTTTTTTCGAGAATTACTTGCAGATGTTTACGTATGTCTCTAACAAAAAAAAACAAAAAGGCAATTCTTTACAATTATTATCAATACGGCCAAAATCTTCATATTCCCATTTTTCTTATCAGATAAAAACTTTTAACTAGTGCTTTGAAATTATCGTCTAAATCGTGAATATTGTTTTGTGGAGCTCATTTCTCGAATTCGTAAGATCGACAAGTGAGATTGTCATACTAATTTTCCCTATTGAAAAAAAATATTCCTATGTCAAATGTTTTCTGAAATTATACGTTCGTTTTTTTCCAATATTTTTTTAGTTGCCTTTCAAAGCCATCCTTTTTTTAATTCAAATGTTGAGATATGTAAAGTAATAAAATAAAAATAAAAATAAAAATACGCACATTCGATTCATTTTTTTTTAATAATGTGTTATATTAGTGCACTCAATACATCTCATCACTTTTCTCCATGTTCCAATATTTTATGTGATCTATAGGTATATAGAAGCAAGATGTGAAGTAAAGTAAACTCAATAACAGTCGTTGCTTTCGTTGAATAAAAACTGATTCCAGTTTAAATAGAATGGTCAAGTGCTGTTACAAAAATTGTAACATCATTAGTAACAATCTCAAATGGAAAAATAAATAATTATTAACAAATATTTTATCATCAAAGCCCAAAATGACTGGTACAGAATAACATGTCATTTTATCAAGTTTATTTATAATTTTCATTTATAACTTCACTTGGTGTTGAATAAATCATTCCGTCCTCATCTGTATTTAAAACTATTCGGATAATGAATTCTTTTTCATTGAGCCCGATATTTAATTCTCATATTAATTCTTATTGGATGCATTTCTTTGTTAATAAAATTCCATCAATAAATGCCAAATGGACCCTAATGGATAGTTGTCTTTTAAATTTTTTGTAAAGTGAGGATTAATAAACGCGGACACTAGGATTTGAGGAAAATTCAATGATACGCGACAAGATTTTATATTAAAATTAAAATGAATATCTCAGCCCTTATCTATTAAAACAATTGTCGAAGAAACATATAAACTACTTGTATTATTATTGATTAAGATGTGTACTTGTTTAATTTTGTATCTATTAATAGAATTATAACTAACTTTCGTCTGTCCAATGGAATTTTTTAATTTCATCGTCATCGGAGTTTCCCTTACAATAAAAAAATCAATTGATTAATATTACACAGACGACGGAAAATAGTATTAGTAATAGCAATAGTGTAACACAGTTTTCATGGGCAACAAATCTACGTAATGAGAATTGCTATTTCTCACCGGATACAGTCAAACCTCATTTCAACGGATTTAGGTGGCCAGTCCCCATAGATCCGTTGGAAACGAGAGAATGATCGACGGAAAATTTTACTTATTATTATATGTTTATATAAAATAAAATAAAAAAGTCCGTTTCAATAAACATGATTCGCGTTTTTGTTCTGTCATAATATATGTACATTTTTTAAATAGAGAAAAAGATGGTGTTGTGATATTTTATAAATTGGAGGTTCAAAGAATTTATTGATCTAAAAAAATATTAATTGTGTAGAATTAAAAGGTATTTATTTATTATCAATTTTAAAAAATTCAAAAGAAAATCCGCCTTTATTTATACATTTAGAAGAGACTTGTTAAAACAATAGTAAGATTATTTTTTGTTATAAATAATTTTATTTGGGGAATTATTTGCATAAAATTATTAGAAATATGGAAAATCTTGACCTATAAAAAATTTTGCACTGAAACACGAAATTTTTACTAAAAATATACGGAAACACCGAAAATAAAACACACTGTATGTTTTCAGTATGTTTTGAGTATTTTCAGCGTGCTTCATTCACAGAAAATCGTTTTTTCACAGAAATATAAAAGAAACCACGGGATATATTCACAAATTTCATCTTAAAAATTAATTGAAGATTGAGAATTGTTTTGATTGAGATGATAGTGCTGTAATCCTTGGGTTCCATGATAGATCTGATATAAATTAATTTCATATTAATTATTTTTATATAGAAGCAATTCTATATACCACTTAATATTAAGAAAAATCAAAGACAACAGATGGGAGATTATAAAATTGTTAAATCACAATAATAATAATAATAATAATCACGTTACTAAATTTTGATCCCTGTAATCCCATAGTGACACAATGTTCACTTTGTCTGGTTTTGTTGCAGTATGCCCCATATATTTTTTTTCAACTTTACTAGTCACTCCAATATACATATATAAATTTTTTTTCAAAATAAATAATAATGACCACTAAATCCAATAAAAGAGCTATAAAACCAAAAAGTACTTCTCAACAAATGGAAATTGATGATGATAATATCAATAATAATAAAAAAGTTATAATCACTACTGAAGAAGACGAAGAGGGTGAGGAGGAAGAAGAAGAGGAGGAAGAGGAAGGAGGAGAAGATGGAGAGACTGTTGATGATGATGCTTATAGTGAAATATTAGATTTTGTAATTAATTATTTTTAAAGTAAAAACCCATTTTTTGGTTTTTTTTACTTTACAATATTATTAATTTTTTTAATAAAAAAGAAATTTAATAAAGATGATGATCCAACAAGTTTAACATTTAACATATCAGAAGAAGATCATACATTGGGAAATGCTTTACGTTATGTAATAATGCAAAAGTAATAATTATGATGATGATGATGATGATGATGATATTTTTATTTTTATTTTTATTAATTGACTTGATTTTTTTTTTGAAAAAAAAAAAAAGCCCAGAAGTAGAATATTGTGGATATTCTATACCACATCCATCAGAAGATAAACTTAATTTACGTGTACAAACTACCAGTAATTAATTTCTTTATTATGTTAAAAACTTTCGTAATATATTAATTTTGTATTTACAGAGTATTTTATTTTATTTTCATAGACAATATAACAGCAATAGATGCAATGCATAAAGGTTTAGAAGATTTGAGAAATATATGTGGTCACATAACAGATTTGTTTGTTGAATCAAATAAATCTTATGATAACAATGAAAATTAGGAAATTAACAATTATATAAAAGTTTCTTTTTCTTTTTTTTATGTAGATTTTAACCTTTTAAATCTTTGTTGAAAAAGAAGATATTTTTTTGAATTGAATGCAGCATGATTTGTTGGTATATGAGAGAAAGTTGACAAATATAAGATAATGCTTTTCTAGGATCATATTATTATTATATTAAATGTTTTAAGAAATAAGTGGTAGATGATGATGCCTCTTTTTAGCACCATAATTATTAGCAATTTTTAGATTTCTGAACATGACCAAGTACTAAATTCAATAATATCATAGTACAAACCACATGAATATTTTTATATAATCCAGATTAATGTCTATGATGCGAACAATTCTAGTTGGATGTAGAGCTCATGCTAGATATAATGTCAAAAACCCATTACCAGTTCCACTTTTTAAAATTTTTGAATATGGATGTAAATCAAGTAAACCTATCTATATGCAAATATATACGTATATTTATTATCACTATCTGATTGATTATTGATAGATTAAATTAAATTATGTAATATTACAATTGTGCTGGCATCCTTGGATGAATTGGAGTTGTATGTCTTCATACATTAGAAAATAACTTGAGAGAGTGTGTGTGCGTGTGTGTGTGTATGAGAAAATAAAATAATTATTTTAAATAAACAAAATCAAAGTTGGAAAATGAATTTATCTAAAAAACCCCATCAAAAATTCAATAGTGGATTTCTAATAACAGAATCATTCCTTTATGTGTATCATGTTTTCCATTTTTACTCAAAGGATTGAATAAAGTTGTTCTTGGTGTTTGATTATTTTTTGGCAAGGATAATGAAGACTAATCACATAATATTATCATACCTCCTTTTATAAATTTAGATCTATCTAATTTAGAGGAAGGGGGTAAGACTCTGAACAAATCAATGAAATTTGAACTGATTTGAATTTGAATCAAATTGAATCAAATTGAATCACTTAATTTTGATTCATTTCATTCAAATTGAATTCGCATCAAATCCAAATTGTACTTTGATTTGATTCAACTTGATTCGAACTGATTTGAATATATAATTTGATTTGAACTAATTTGATTTACTTGATTTGATTCAAACTGACTGATTTGAATCTATAATAACTGATTTGAATCCATGATTTGAATTAAATACACATATATAATAAATGAAAAATCTTTATTTTAATGTATATTTTATAATTTTATTTACAAAAATATTTTTTATTTATATAGTATAAATATTTTTTTTAATAATTTTATTTAAAAATTTTATTATTGTGAATCTTTTAAAATGCCCTTCCACCAATTTTTAAGGCACATACAGCACCTAATTGTATCTGCAGACAAACTGCATCTAGTTGGTGTAATTAAATCAGTACCACCAGAAAAGATACTTTTAACTGGACACTAGATGCTGGAATGGCATGTTTTCCATTTTTACTCAAAGGATTGAATAAAGTTGTTCTTGGTGTTTGATTATTTTTTGGCAAGGATAATGAAGACTAATCACATAATATTATCATACCTCCTTTTATAAATTTAGATCTATCTAATTTAGAGGAAGGGGGTAAGACTCTGAACAAATCAATGAAATTTGAACTGATTTGAATTTGAATCAAATTGAATCAAATTGAATCACTTAATTTTGATTCATTTCATTCAAATTGAATTCGCATCAAATC